TAGGCGTCATTCAGGGTGTCTGGGTCGTAATCAAGGTCGTCCTTTCTCTATGTGAACGTGCTCCGGCCGCTGCAGTCAGCTGCGGTTAGTGCGGTAGTATGAAACAACCCTTATTTGACATGCGAAGATGCACCCATATGCCTTGTTGGATTGTCATGGTTGTCAATAGTCATCAAGGGTCCAAAATAATCGAGTCTCATGTGCTCGAATGAACGCATACGGTGTACTCTCGTCACTGGTGCTTCATGTCAGGGCAGGTAAAAGGAAGATTGTTTATCTTTTGGCATGGAACACATTTTTTGCTCCAGTTTCACACTTGCTGTCTAAGCCTGGGTATCTATACGTCTCGCATACAGCGGCCATAGTATTAGCGACTCCGCGGTGATGATGACTGTGAAACTCTGAGATGGTTAGACGTGCCAACCTAGTTTTGGGTACAATATAGATTGGTGGTTTTGCCCATGCTGGTACATCTGCTCGTTGTAGATGTCCATAACAGCGTCGAATTCCCTTTTTGTCTAGGCGAATGTTCAGTTCCTTTTGCAACTTGATCTGATGCTCGTTCACATAGTTCTTCTGATGGTTTCGGACCAGAGTGGCTCTCGTGCATCTCGATTCCGGTGATGGTCTGTTATGGTGAAATTTTCTTGAGCGCCGGTATGTGTTGCTGTATTGCCAATGTTCTTCCGTGGGAAAGGTGTTCAAGGATCTCCTTACGAATCGAAGTGCTTATACTAGCCTCTCTGAGCCTTTTTAAGAGTGCTATATCTGCTCAAGTATACCAATTCGTCCTTAGATGCCTTTTCTGACAAGCCTGAAATTACTGCCTCCCCTGACACACTGTCGATTGTTCAAAATCAGCAATCGTACTCAGCTTCAAATGAACCGGTTTTTTGGTGAATTCAGGTCCTTTCCACCAGATATGGTTCTGCAAAGCTTCTGCTGATAGTCCTCTTGTTCCACAAATGGTTGGCTTTCCTTGACGTTGAAACATGTCCAAAGAGGCACAGCGTATTCCGATTGTGAAGATCGTGCTGATCCTTCTTGTCTCGGACAATCGTTTCCTAACTAAGATGCCAGCGCTTTGTCGTGATGAAGGGGTCCTTATCCACCCTGACACCATATTATCCGAGTCCGTATATAGTATCACTTCCTTGATTCCGCGAGTGCATCCAGCGCTTCACAGGTAAATCGAGACATTCTCAAGCTCAGCTTCGGTGCATTCATCTCCAACTGGAGAACGTCATTGACGTGGACAGTAATTTGGATTTCGCCATAACGATGTTGGACTCTTCTTGCAAGGTGAGATACGCACATGCTGCGATTGCGTGTTGGTTAGCATCGGTGAAGACGACAAACCCGTTTGCGTTGACATTGTTGAGAACTCGTCTATCCACCTCTTTATAAAATGTTGATATCTCTCATGAGATTTGATGCCATTGATCGCGCAACTCGTTGGAAACGGTGCGCCCCATTCCAGTCCTTTCCACAGAGACTGCACGAATGTCTTTGCAGGTAGCAGTGGAGGCATTAGCTATCCCATAGGATCATACACTGATGCAAGTTGCTGCGGAAACGTGCGTTCGCTGTCCTTTCGTTTCGAAATTGTCATAGTACCTTTGAAGGCTTATCGATTTTCGAGTTCTATGTAGATAACTAGAACTTTGGGACAAGTGGTTTTCATCTTTTCGTCTCATCGACGGCTATTAATACTCTTATCGTTGGTGGGGAATTCTTTGCAACTCATTTTTAGGTCTCGGGAGAGCTT